AAGAAACTTCTTTTTTTCTCAAAATTCCAAAAAACACTACCTTTACAAGAAATCCTAGATTAAATTGACCTGTGCTAGACATAAATTATCTCATAAAACTAGGATATTTTATAACAATAAATGTAAAACTGTGTTTTAAAGAATAATAAGTTATAATTACTATGTATGTAACATTAGTAATGAAACTTTTTTTCTCAAAATTCCAAAAACAGGAGCTTTACAAAAACTCCTAGATTGAATTGACTTGTGTACAATGAATAATCTCATTAAACTAGAATATTTTATAACAATAAATGTAAACCTGTGTTTTAAAGAATAATAAGTTATAATTACTAAGTATGTAACATTAGTAATGAAGAAATCAAATAACTTTTACATTTAAATGGTAAGAATGATTTATAAAAATAAGATAGAAAAAAGATTTTGAAAGAAGAAAAAATTATTAAAAAATGTTAAAAATATTCAAATTTAAAAATTTTTAAACTTGATAATAAATATTGCAAAAAAAAATTCTTTTTATCTTTATTATGTCATTAACATATATAGAGAAAAATCAATATTTGTTTAAACTTACCAATTGTCTAAGTTGTTCAACTGCTTCTAAAACTAACTCCTGATGACCAATCTTGGTCATATTCAAATTAGCTAGGTCATCTTTGGCTAGTGTCAACAGCTGACAACCATTGACTTTTTTATTAACGAAGAATTGAGTGTATGGTTGGATCTCATCTTCAAGACCTAAAAAAACATTGCAACAATTAGAAAAAAATAATTTATCCGAAAAACAGAATAGCACACTTAACTTATTCTTGTAAGGAAAAAAATTTTATCATCGAAATAAGTATGACTCTTCAACTTAAAAGGCATGCTTTAATAAATGAGGGTGCTCAACCCAATACTTGCTATCACTGGCCTACCACCAGAACTGGTTGACTAGCAATCTGAACCCATTACACTTGCACTTAACACTTAACTTCATGGAACCACTGATGACTTTCATATGAATGCACAAATATTTTATTTTTATTTAAAATTACATCATATTAAAAAGTAATTTTACAATGTGTGTAAAGTAATAAAAACTTCATTGTACAATAAATTTATATCTTCCGAGAGACAAAAACAAATAAACTTCTGATCAGACCTATAAACAGGGGTGATTATGAGCTCAAGCCAAAATTCCGGAAAATAACTTGAGTTAAAAAAAAAGTTTAAATTGAAAAAAATTTAAACAAGTTTATTTTTCCTTTTTCTCAATATTTCTTAGTTTACTTAAAATTTACTTAAATAAATTTACAATTTTACACATACCTATACCATTTACACATACCTATGATGACCTGGAGAAGTAATTAAAATTTACAAATATGTCTTTTTTTCCTGAGTTTATGATTATAACTATTTACTGATAAAAAATGAATATTAATCATGATTATAAGCTTATGAAGTATCTCTCTGGATCTCCCTTACAAACAAATAAAATAAACTGTGTTTTTAAGTTCCACCTTTGAAAAATTGATTTTCAGAAACTTCTGTGATCAATGATTTTTTTAAACTTCTGGACCTTCAATCTCCGGAAACTTCCGGATCACTGTTAGCGAAAAAATTCGGAATTTTTCCGGAGCACAATCAGCCCTGTATAAAAGAGATGTATACTACCTTTTTTTTTCTTTAGTGGGCCACAAAAACTAAAAAATGCATGTTGTGGGCCAACATGAGAAAAGCAAATTGCAATCATAAAAATGTAAGATGTATGAAAATAACATAGATATAAGTAGTAGGTGTGTAAAATTCGTAAAAAAATTACATTTTCCTCCAAGTACTGAACTCATAGCCAGCCATATATAAAAGTTTAACTTTTTTAGGCTAAAAAAAAAAGACATAAATTTTTTTTATTAAATTTTTTCTTATTAAATAGTTTTTTACACATATTTGAAATTGTTCAAGGGCCAAGTTATAAACTTCGGGTGTCAAATTTAGCCTTCAAGCAATAGGTTGCGCATAATTGATCTATAATAAAGGTTCTTCTCTTAAATAGTACTCTTTTCAACAATATGGAAACAACAGTGAACAAAGGCCAAACTCAAGAGGAAAGAGATAGGAAAATTGAGATTGCTGAGTGCTCAGTTGAAATTTCTTACAAGTTACGTTTTTAATTAATTTTCTTTAAAAAGAAAATTATTGAATATTCCCTTCATACATACAAAGAGTAATAACGATATTAACTATAAATACTCCAACAACAGGACTGTAAACTATAATTTTAAAAAAAGGCTTTCTCAAAAATTTTATAAAATAAGACTTTTTGCTTCGGAATTTTTTTTGTCCTTCACTTCCAAATTACTAAAACAAGAAAAATTAGTAAAAATATTTCACCCACTCTATAAATGAGAGAAGATTCCAAGGTTGTTAAAGCATTCTACAGAAAGTTGAAATAATTTCTTGCATATGGAGTGTTAAAGAATAAAATCAAACAAATAAATGAATTGTAAGTAATAAGAGTAAGTTTGTAAGTAACTTGTTGTGTAATTGTTGTCAATTTTACCTTACGTGGAATCAAATAAGAAAATGATTTTTAATTACTCAATTTTTTTTTTTTAATTGAGGAAAAAAAAATTTTTTTTCAGCCTTTCAAAAGAAAAAAATAATCGTAAATACCATTAAATATCATCATAATTATAAATATCATCAAATAATAAAAGCATGCCCTCCAGTAAAGGAAATAAAAAATACCCATACTTAAATATTAAAAGTATGTTGAAGATAACATTTCGTGTTTTTTTCTTTTCAAAATCATGTGATGTATTTCTTCTCACAATATTATGAAATAAACTCACTATACTAATTAAAAATGAATGGATGAAAAGCAGAGAATATAAGTTAGGTTTTTCTTTTAATATGCTAAATATACCCATTTAGTCCCAGATACAATTACAATTTAAAACTAAAAGAATAATCTAAAAAAAAAAATTAATGAATAAATTTATAGCCAATTAAAGTCAATGTAGCTTGTTATGTCTAAAGTTGTGACTCATTGTCGTTGTCATAGATTTTAACTAAGTATTATTATTTCATTTTTTGTGAGTGTGTTTCAGCAATAGATAAATATATCTGTTTTTATTCCAATTAATTAAAAAATCTTCATTGATTCAGAAAAAAGTCTTGTTTCTTATTCCAACATTTAGAATGTAATAAGTACAGAACCCGTTATCCGGAAATCAGAAAACCGGAAAATCAAAAAACCGGAACGAAATTCGATAAAATTTCCCGCCATTTTAAAAAAAAAAAATTTTCCTTTTAAGATTTTAGGATTTTTCTTTCTTTTTTGAAAGATGTTCACCCTACCATCATTTTGGAAATAATCATTAGTGTATTACTTCATCGTTTTTTCTTCTTTTTAAGATTATTTCCAAAAAAAAAAATATTTTTAGTTGGGTTTAACAATAAAAAAACGGCTTTTTGTAGCGATTCAGAAAACCGGAAAAATCAGTTATCCGGAATAGCGATGGTCCCGATCGTTCCGGATAATCGGTTCCCTACTGTATATGAATTATCATGCCTAATGTTATAATGAAGTATTCTAAAGAGAGAGCAGAATTCCTTTAAAGAGAATAAATATATTACACCAGTTTCTGCAAGAGTGAATTTAAGGCTTATTTTGTTTCTCTTTATTGCTACTTCTTAAAAAATTCATAAAGGCCATAATAAATAATCAAGCCCATACTCAAGAAGGAGGAAGAAACCAAAAATTGTCAGCGGGTCCAGAAAATTTACTAATATGTTTAATTGTTTTTTAAAAAAAATTCTTTACATTTTCATAAAAACTACAATCTTTTAAAAAGAGTCAACAAAATGACTGTCCAAAATCCAAAGACCTTTTGTGCTTCAAAGAAGGGTCTGTATAGCCTATGTCCAGCCTTATAAATAACACAAACTTGTAATACATTAACTTGTTTTGTTTAAAGAAGGAGAAACATTAAGATACATAAATTATTAATATCAATTTCTATCCAATAAAATTGGAAAAATTATAAATTTCAAACAGTGTAGTAAAAACTCTTTAGTTACAGAAAAAGTAAAGAGGGGGAATTAATCCTTACTTTCTTTTTATTATATCTCAGTTGATGGTTATAAAATGGTGTTTGTTCATAATTTTAAGTATTACATAATTTATATTAGATGATTTATTCGCACAATAAAAAGATTAAAAGAACAATAAGTTATTAAATTTAAAAATATATTTAGAATCTACTAATAAAGGATCTTTAGTATCAAAATTATTCTTAATATCTAAATTCTCATTCAAATTAATTCTTACGCTCTCAATTTGTTGATGAATTTCATATGCATGGTAGTTCTTAATTTAATATTATTACATGCAGTATTAAGAAATAATTTGTATTAAACATTTTATTTCCATATTAAACTTATTAAAACAATAATGAACCATTAAATCAAAAATAAATAAACTTTAAAACTAATTAGAAAAAAACTAATTTAAATATTTGAAATGTTAATTTTAGACAGGTATTGTTATGTTTCATACATTTTTGAATCATGTTAACCTCAAAATAATACATTCATTCTTTTTCCTGAAAGAATGGAAGAGCCAGGCATTTTCAGAATGTTTACTTACATTATTTCTGAAAAACTTATATGGTCAATAGTTACTCAATACAATGTTCTTACTAGAGTAACATTTCTTTTGACATTTATGCTTATGTCAAAATCATTGACTCTTCTATTAAGAAAATCATCAGACAACTATAAATGTATTTCATGTGCAATGAGATCGACCTATAAACAATCTCTTAAGCTTTCGATGCTTTGTGAGAAATTTTATCTTATTACCAATATTGAACAGAAGAGTAGGAAATCGGTTTTATTGTTTTTCATGTTACAATTCAATCTCTGCGTCTCTATTTATTTTAAATTTTGAACCCTCTAAAAAAAACAAAAAAAAAACTTAACTTTGTTTTCAAAAGAAGAAAATTCAGAGAAAATTTGTTTTCAGGAAAAACTTTATCTTTGAAACTAACACATATTTGTATTACACAGAGAATAAATCTCAAGAGCCTCACATAGTTAATGTTACTGCAAGAGAACTTAAACCTAACCAGACTGATTGGAAAGTAGATTGAGCTGTAATGAGTAAGTAACACACTTACCAATAAAATTTAGTTTTAAGTAACTCATGGACAATTTTAGGGATACATGCTTCTTTTCAATATGAAATTCCTTCTTGGGAATATGGTATTTTTCAGACAATTCCATAAAGGAATTGTTTGAAATTAATAAATTCCACTTATTACTAATAGTAGTACTACAAATAAACATATGCAATAGAGGTACATTCGCAATCACTGCAATTCTAATGATTTGTTTGTTTTATATCACTTTACATTTGAGTTAGAGTTCAACTTGATAATTATTTCAGGGTGTTGTAATTTTCACAAACATTTGAGTGCACAATACCTTTTAATGAGATGCAGGCAGGAAAAATTATTCATTTGAATAGTTTAAAACAAAATCAAGTTTTTTTTTTTAAATATTTAGAAAATAATTTCTTGTTCATCTATTCTTTGCGAATCAAATTTTAATAGTAGTTAACTTCGTAATTATCTTTATGGGATGAGTAAACATCTCGTATATGGCAGTCTGCTAAATGTATCTAATGTGATGTGAAAATCAAAAAGTCGAATTTTTGATGAAAATTTAGTTTATTGTTCCACTAATTTTAAAAAAAATATTTTTATATCCTTCAATTGAAAAATTTGAATTAAAAAATTTATAATTTTATTTTTAAATGCTTAAATTACTATATTAAAAAATATATACATTAGTGCTTTGATTATTTATTTATTTGCTTTATGGCTGTTTAAATCAATTTTTAAGAAATTGGAATGTTTTTAAATTGAATTGAACAATTGAAGAGCTTGATGAATGGGTATTAAAGTTAATTGATTTAAAGCAAAAAGATCTTTTTTAAGGAACTGACTAAAATTATTTTTTTTAATTAATGAATTCTTAAATTAATGTTAAATTTTATTTTTCAAAATATGACTTTCGTTCTCATTTAATGCAATCACTGCAATAAATATTTTTAAAAAATAATAATATAAATTAAATAAGCTCACTTTTATAAAGTAGTTCAGAAAACACAATTTCTCTTTAGCAGCCTTTTGCAATTCGTCTTAAAATAAATTTTTAAATCAATTTACTGAAGATAGCTTTTATTTTTTAAGAAAATAAAAATTTTATTTTTACATAACTCAACAAAAAACTCACTTGCAAATATATTAATATATTTTCAGTGCAAGGTGATTTATGTTTAATATTGAAAAGAAGCATGTATCCCTAAAATTAGCAATATATATTATTGGCCATTATAGCGCATTCCAACCAGTCTGGTAATATGGTATTTTTGAAATATCAGGATAATGGACATGGGAAAATTGTTAACATACAATCTTAAGTTACCATATATATAATCCATATAACACATTGAGTGTTACATATCATCTAAATTTATGTAAATGCATACTGATTAGATTTAATAATAGTTCATGTTAAAACATTGAATAAAACCTATGTTTTATTAAAATTATGATTCAGAACTTTAATTAAACAGGATTTTAAAGAAATTAATCAAAATGTTTCTAATGCTATCATAATAATTCTTAAAATTAGATTATTATTGCTTAAGTTCAGAAACTTAAGTAAGCATAGGGGGTTGCTTATTTTTGCTTACAAGGGAGAGGGTTAAAAAAACACTGAGAAGATGCTAACATAATAATTGAAAAGTTTCAAATTAGAAATTATGTTAAAAATTTAGAATTATTCATAAACCGTGAAGAAAAGCACTGTCTACAATGTACAAAATTACTACCTACTTTAAATTTCTAACATGAAAATATTGGTTTTAAAAGAAATATTAATGCTTTCATATTTCAAACTTTAATCTACTTCTCTGCATAGGTATGTTACTGAATGTTCCTAGATGTGTTTTCTGATTTCTTGAATGGCTTAAATAAAAATTTTACAATAAAAAAACTGATTTGAGATGAAGTCTCCTTTAATTGGCCACCAGTCACCCATATTTTCATACCTGAAGTAACTGATCTGTCAAATAAATTAAAAGGTGCTATGTTTTGTGCTATGTTGACTAAAGCAAAAACACAACCTGATAAAAAAACACATATGAAAATATTTTAATGCTGCTTTTTGTTTTTATCCAATGATCTATGATTCACAATGATCTAATAGATTTAAAGTGTCTTCTTCAATCCCAAAAACATACTTTAAGGAATTAATTAGTTTCTTTTTATCAGAAAAATAATCTAATTTTTTTATTTTTAATTATAGAAACAAAAACATAATCTTACTGAAAGACTTTTTTTTTTCCTTTTTAAGTATTCTTTGTAATAAATGCTTATTAGCTAATTTTTTCCTGCCATATTCTCTACAAAAATTTCCATACTTTTTAAAATTTTTAACCCATTAAAAAAAATTTTAAACGATTTTTTTTTTTTTAATATATTAAAGGAAGATTATTTGCCTTCTATTTATCTAACTCATAACACAAAACTGTTTCAAAAGTGTTTTTAAATAAATAATAGAAATAAATACCTACATAAAACTATAATGCATCAAAACATTTTTCACATTTATTATTAAAATCGTTTTAAGATAGAATTTAATAGTTTTAAGATATTCCTGCACTGGGTGATATTGTTATTCCATAACATCCCTAAATCTGTTTTTGTATTACGGCTGATGCTTTGATGTTCGCCGTGCGTCAGATTTACCTGTCATTATAAAAATATTAATTGATACTGTTTTATGTTTACATGCACGCAATATTCTATTTTATAACTCTATTGAGCCGATCTTTCGCTTCAAATACGGGATGCTCCGGCTGGAACTTTACCCACCTGTAATTTGAAAGAGTACGTTAATTAATGTTCATGTTGAATGAACATAACTCACCCCGTAGCCAGTCTACTACATGTTCAGGATTCCACTCGGCAACGTTAACGTAAGCCATTCTATGTTCATGTTTCAATCACAAACAATAATCCACATCCTTGTTACGAATCCGGATACTGTATCCAACAAGTGATGCACTTGTCGCTATCCTTTGCTCTTCGTTATCCACTGATTTTATCAACCACTGTTTACATCACAATAACACCGTTTCAGGAATTCCTATCCAAAATATCGATGAAGCCACTGAGAAAAAAATTTTCAACACACAAACACAAAAGATAAAAAGCACCTAATTTATTAAATAAAAAAATTAATTAGTTGCAAAAAAGATAAAAACCAAGCATCTACCTAAGCAGATTAGTGGTGCTTGCTAGAATTATGAAAAGTGCTGCGGAGAGATCATTGAATGAAACAGGTTGCTGTAAAATGGTGTTTCAATTTCTCGCCAAAATGCCTTAAGCTAATCGCCAAGAGTAAGAAAGTTTCATTTTCTGTGTCACGCATTCGCTCTCTATCTTAATGACACAGAAAATTAAGAAAATATAAAAACAATTTAGAGGTTCTTTTTTAATTATAGTATTGTCTCGTGGGAAAGGTTGACAAATAGCCGACAGGTAATCAAAGGTAATAAAATACTGGTAACGATCTTTCTTATAAATGTTCTATTTCATTTATTGATCTGTCATGATTTTTTGAACCGGATTTTTGATAAATTTTTATACTGAAACTATAGATAGATAGATATTTATTTATGAGAAAAGTTAAGAAGAGAAAACAAGGGTGCATAGTTTCTTTGCAACATTAAAAATCATTATTGAAAAATAATTCATAATTAGACTTTTAATTTCTTTATTTAGTGATAATTAGAAAATAATTTGCCATTTTTTTACTATTTATTACTTTTATTTCTATTTTTTTCTCTTTATATTTTTCACAAACTTAAGTTTTACTGAACACTACAAAAAAAGCTAATAATTTTTTTTGTTTAAACAACAGCTTGTTATGTTTGATTAGAATCATACAACTGTTAAGCAAACAATTTTGAAACAAATTCGTTGTAAATGGCACCTTTGAATATTTTATCAGAAAAATTTTAAACAATAATAAAATAATGTTAATTATAAAATAATGAAAATGACATTAAAATGTGGATTATTTATATACAAACAATTTTGAGATCAACTCGTGGTAAATGGCGTATTTTAAATAGCTGATTCAAGAAATTTCTACAATAATAAAATTGGTATTAAAATATTAAGTATGATGTAATAATAATAATGACAATGCTTTTAAACTAATTATAATTATAAAAAGCGCTTTGTATGTTGACTTCAGATTCAAATATAAGCATTTTATGGTGTACAGAAGATTTTCACATATAATTATAATAATGAATAATTTGAGCTACAACTTTTTTTAAAAAAAGAAATGTTGATGAATTTAAAAAGACGCTTAAACATTAGTAACAAATTTTTAAATGTGAAAGTCAGTACATTTTCAACTTAACATTGCAAATTTTAAAATAATAATTTTTAGATTTCATTTTAATTTACAAATTACGCCATTTTTATACAAAAAACAGAATAAAATGGATAACATACCGTGGTAGATAAAATATCTCGTTTGTACTATCACTATTTTAATTTAAGTAGCGCGATGAGTTGGTTAAATATGAAATTATAAATTAGTTAAATATAAAAATAAAACCTTCCGCTGAGTGGGAGAAATTAGCAGCTGTGTAATATGCACGTTGAGAAAATTCCAGTTCTACTGTTAATGGTTGTCGAAGTGGCGAATTTGTACTGAACTTTTACATTTTTAATTTTTAATATTTATTGTAGTGATGAATTAGTAATTTATTTATTTTTCCAAAAAGATATTATAACGTTGCTATCGCAAATTAAATTTATCAGTGATCGCATATATATCGCAAATAATATTTCTTTTTGCAAAGTGTAAATCGAAATTTGTTACAGGTCCGTAGCCAAGGGAGGCAGACATGACAGTGTCGTTAGCGCCCCCCCCCCTGAAATTACGAAACAAATAAAATTCTATAAATAACTTTTTTTTACTAAATAATATATTATGCATTCTAAACAATGTATTTATTTTTTGATAACATTAGGTATTCAAATATTGATGATAATTCAAATATGCGAACAAATCTAAACCAGAAACGTATATATCCAAAAGGTAAAGTAAAAAAAATACTTGATGCCACCCTTTATTGTAGTGGGGTGCCGTACAAAGAGCGGTTACCCCCTTCCCTGAATAATAATGTTTGTTTCGTTTAGCGATTGTGTTAAAGAAATAGTTACTAAATAATATTTTGTAAACTTTATCAAAGTAATTATACGCTTCTTCAACTACTTGCATTATAGATTCGAACTTTTCTTCCTTCAGAAGTTTTAATTTTCTTTTTTTCGTCATATAATGCTTTTGAAGAAAATATTTCACGTGATATCTTTATATCTAGCGGCCTCTCATAAGTGATACTTGAGAAAAGATACGACTCAAAAGATGAAGAATAATCTTCGCTTTGAAAAGAGAACAAAAGCTGTTGTCTCATCCTCTCTTTGCTCGAGTAGATGCTTTCATAAAAAAATAAAAAGGAAAGAGAAAACAGAGCAATAAAAAATTCAATTTTTTTTCTCCATAAATTGTTAGGAGGGATTCATTTTCAAGAATTCATTCACTTCTGAGATATAAATGCAACTTACATTAAAAAAAAAAAAACTTTTCATCTTATTGTGTTAAAGTAAAATAAAGGCAATATTGTTTAAGGTTCAGTTTAAAAAAATTTTCAAATTTAGAGGTTAGAAATAAGTCGTTAAGTTCCTTTACAGAGAAAATTTTTAACAAGTGGTAATAAAAATAAAACATGTGTTGATATTTTAATTTCCTTGTAACTACCACTAAAAAAAATTTTTCCGAAAATGGTATATATATAACGTAAAATGGCACTTTAATATGAAACATCTCCAAACATTAACCTAAATATCCGACCAACTGTTAAACCTATTTTAGAACCCCAGGAAACCTGTTTAAATTAACTAAGAACCGTTCCAGCTTATTAAGATCTATTTGCAATTGTCAACTGAAATATTAACATTAGTAGAAAAATGTCGATAAAAAGAGGAACAAAGACGTACCTCAGGGAATGATTTTCCAATATATCAAATTTTGATTTTTGTAAACATTTTTCCTTAATATTTATATTTGCAGCAAAATTAGTCCTTTATCATTTGATAATTGGTTTAATAATTTTTTAAAGTTCATCTCTAGTCTAAAATCGTATTAATAAAGCAGTTGGGAACTAATTTTTTGTTACATTTAAACATGTACTTGATTTTACCTATTTCAAATGTGGGGATTTCAATTCTGAAATTAGTTTTGTTTGGCTACCAATATTCTTCAAAGAGTGTATTTAGTTGATTTTATATTTTCCAAATTGATCGAAGTTATGCTCAAAAATGTCATGTAACAAAATAAAAGTAAAACAATGCCCTTTAGTGTAATTCTAAAATACATTTAAAAGGCATGAAATCCTATTGGGTAGTATTCAGAGAATTCCAAAATTTAAATAAATTTATCATCAGGATTGGCAACTATAGCTCGATTACAAAATGATTTGGCAAGAATTAACCAAATATTGTAAAGGTATATATCTAAAGTTTGAGCTAACGCACTCGTTAATAAAATGATTAGTCACAGTAATAATGGTTAAGGTTGCCAATGGCACCATATATTTGAAGTTTATCTTTGTGAAATGAATCGTGTTCCACATACTATAGGGATGCAAACTTGCTTCGCGTTGAAGGCAATATTTTTCCAGCGGTAGAAAAATCTGTTTTAATTTAAGATTCTTTGTCTAATAAATTTGACTAAAATTATTTTGTCCACAACTACACATAAATAATATTAAAGTTCATATAAAGTATCACTTGGTATTCGCTTTCCCATCTTCGTCAATAATGATCTATACCAGGGGTTTCCAACTTACATGAGGCCGGGGGCTACAATTAGAAACACAAATCAAATGGCGGGCCGCAACTTTATCAAAATTTTATGTACGACTCTTTTATGTTTGAAGGAACATTAAATATTATTTCAGATTTTTACCAAGTTGTACTAAACAAAAGTATTGAATTACAAATTAAAATAATAGATTTTTAAAAATATTTAATTGCATATTAAAAAATTCGGGCTGCAATAACTTTAATATGCACCCATGTATTAAACAATTAATGTGTAACAGATATCTAATTGTTAAGATATAAAACTTTAAAACTTACATAGTAGCACACAAAATTGAGGTTTGTCAGCTGCAACCACCTGAAAATAGATATTTACATTTTAAATTTAAAATTTACAAATGTGTGTCAAATATTTTCATCCAAAATGAGTGGTTTCAAGAAGTTATATCGGAGAATTTCTTCGAGAAAATTTTTGATACACATATGCTAAATTATATTCACAAAATACAAAAAAAAAAAAAAGAAATAAAAGAGATACACGATTATTTTTGTATTTGAATAAATATTTTCTTGGGTGTAAAACCTGAGAAATAATTTTTTTTCTTTCTTTGCACCGTTGATATGATAAATTTCACAGAAACGAAGAAATTAGGTTTTTATTACAGAGAAAAGTATTTTAAACCCATATAGATTTTTCGCAAAAATTTTCCGCAAACAACTAGAAATGACAACTAATATATTTTAGTTCGCGGGCCGCAAAAAAAGTCTGCTTGGGCCGCCAGTTGGAAACCACTGATCTATACCATTTATTTTTTTCGCTCCGTCTGTAGATATGTATAAACTAATTTTTCGTTATTGAAAATACTCACTCCGTTGTACATATGTAAATACTAATTTTTTCGATTATGTAAATATATTATATTATTCGGATTTTTGGTATTCGTGCTTGCATTTTATCAATTTTTACTCGAATCCTTTTTTTTTCTTGTTTATATTCTTTATTTTATTGTACTGTTTACTTTTACCTCCGTCCGATCGCATTCTTCCGTTGTCGTTGGCAAATACTTTCAATTGAAGAGGCAAGTGCCGCAAGGCAAGTACCTAGCTCAATACCCTCACATTAAAGCATTAGCTTTCCCAGGATGAATTTTTCGAGATGTCAGCTGAATTAACTAATTTTCTAAAGGATTTAGTTTTAAACTCTATAACAGAGGTGTCAAACTCAACTTTCCAGAGGGCCGCATAATAAATTTAGAATGCGTAGGCGGGCCAGATTCAAAAAAATAAAATGTACTGAATTATTATAACATTTTATTTATTTAATTATATAGTATATAATATACGGTTGTTAAAAATCACATCGAAGTTATAAAAGAGGATAATTGTGATAGCGGGCCGTATTGATACGACCCGGGGGCCGTATCTTTGACATGACTGCTCTATAACAATCTAT